AGTTCCCCCTCCCCCCTCTTCCCCCTCCCCATCAACTCTCCCCCATCCCTAATCCACTCCTCAGGGAGGGTGAGGCCTCCTGTTGGGAGCCAAGAAGTCTGTCACTGTCACATTGAAGCAGGACCTGGGCCCACCCTTGTGAGATTCATGTTCTTTAAGGTCTTATTTAACACAAGTCCAGTGACTTCCCGGATGCTTCTACAAGGGTGACCTAGGCTAATTGGCAACTTTACAAACCCATTACCACTGTACATATGGGAATCCCCGAGACACGAGGGATCCTTCTTACGGCCCAGCATTCTGTCCTCTGCCTTCCCCTGGCTTCTCTCCCAGCCTTCCTTTGTTTTGCCACTCACCAGTCTCCTGAAGGACTGCAGGACCCAGAAGGAGAGGCAGGGACAGCAGGACAGGCACCATTGCTACTTTAGTGCCTGGGCGGACAGTCTGCCCAGGAAACAGGGCTCTTTTCCTTGAGTCTGGCGTCCTGCCCAGGGGAGGTGATTCCCCAGCCAATGGGAGAGCCATGAGAGGAGTTCCTGTTGGAAACATGCAGAAACCGCTGGGCAGAGGTGTGGTCACAGGCTTCAGGCACAGAAGCTGCTGAGAGCTGAGAAAGCCAGTCTCAGGACTGAGACCCTGTGTGTTCCTCAGGTGAAAGAACAGCAGTGGGGTGGAGGGTGGTAGAGAGTGTGTTACTCTTACAGTATGCTGGTGTCAGCGGGGGGATTTGGGTGTTATAAGACAGGATCTCACATACCCCCAGCTGGCCTCCAGCTTCCTAGGTAGCCGATAATGATTCTAATGCATCTATGTCCCAAGGCCTGGAATGACAGGCATGAGCCACTGCACTCGGCACGGCGGATGTGGTGCCAGGGAAGGAACCTGGGGCTTCAAGCATGCCAGGCGAGCACTCTGCCAACTGAACTACAGCCCAGCCCCTTAGCTGACTTTAAAGGCCACTAATTTTTAAGTCATGTGATTGAACGGTGTAGTCTCCCACTAGCTTTGCTTTGAAGGGTAGAAAACCATTGACGGTGGAGGCTGCTGGTGGCAAGGACCCCCTCAAAAAGAGCACCCCCAAAAGAGCTGCAGGTGCAAGGCTTTTTAAAGGGACTCGTGGGGGGGCATTTACACAGGAGGACATCATGGTGGTTATGGAATCTAGAATAGTTGGGAACTTGGGGTGGTTTGATTTCTTCCTTCTCTTCCCCTCCTTCCCTCCCTCCCTTCCTCCCTCCCTCCCTCCCTCCCTCCCTTCCTTCTTTTTAAAGTCAGTAGAGAAAGTCTTTTATTAGGGGTGAGGAAACATACATACAGCAAGCACATAGAGAGAAAAACTGTTCACAGAGTGGGTGGGGGCTCAGGAAACCCAGCCCCTTCCTCTGTCCCTCCCTTCCTCCTTCCTTCCTACCTTTCTTTTCTGAGACTAGGTGTCCTTATGCAGCTCTGACTGCCCTTGAACGTCTTTCTGATCCACCTCCCTCCTAAATGCTGGGATCACAGGCATGCACTCCCGTGTCTGGTTTGCACCGTCGACTGTTATCTGTAGGAAGCCAGGCGCTCTGGGTCCTGTAAATCTAAAGACAAGTGCCCGGGTAGGATATATATAATATATATTAAATATATAGAATATATATATATATAAAAATCATCAGTCCTTTATAGATCCTTTCTCCAGGAATGGCTAACCCTGCCATTACTTTATGAGCTGCTTCACAAGCTGCTGACAAATACCAGACAAAAGCAAATTAAGGAGGGAAGGCTCACTCTGGTGTGACGAGCGTCTCCAGCTGTGTGTGAGGCTGCTGGTCAAGTTGCCCCCAAGGTCAAGAATCACAGGGGCGAATCACAGGGAATCACAGGGAATCACAGGTCACTTTCTTCTTTCTAATTCAGTCTAAGTCCACAGCCCGAGGTGTAGTGCCACCCACGTTCAGGTTGGGTCTTGTGGCAACCCCTCTGGAAAAACACCCAGAGTCACTAAGCTGCGTGTCTTCCAGGTGGCTCTAATAATCCGGTCATGTTGGCAGAGGTTAGCCATTTCATTAAAGAACATGGAAGGTAACAGTAGGCTACTTTACCCTAGATGGCAGGAAGACTGTGGGACACAGAGGAAAGTGACTTCCCACTGGAGGACAGGGCGGAGCCATCCTCTGGTGGCTTCAGTCTGGTGGTCATCCACAGCAAACTAGCAGGTAACTAATAATGTATCGCCACTGTGAAGCAGTCAAACTAGAGGCTTTATTCACATTTTCTCTTGGTAGCAGGTTTATTGCTTCCAGCACTGGGGATTCATTGAATTCTTTGGACGATGTGGTGGTTTATGTGACTGTCAGTTTGGCAATGCCTAGAACCATCATGGAGACAAGCCTCTGGCATCTCTATAAGGGGTTTTTTAGACTGGGATAATTGGACTGTGGAAGCCCCCACTGTGGGTGTGAATGGTACTATCCCATGGGCTGGGGCCTCTGACTAAATGAAAAAGGAGAAAGTGAGCTGTCTCTGCCCCCAGCTGTGGATGCAGTGTAACTAACTGCCTCATGCTCCTGCCACCATGCCTTCCTTCCACAATAGAGTGTGCCCTTGAGCTCGGAGCCACGATAAACCTTTCCTTCCTCAAGTTGTTTGAAAGGTAAGATTGTCATGGTGATAAGAAAAGTAACCAATATCACGTCTGTCTGTCTGTCCGTCCATCTATCCATCCATCTATCATCTATCTATCTATCTATCTATCTATCTATCTATCTATCTATCTATCTATTCCATCTATCCATCCATATCTATCAATATCTATCATCCATCCATCATCCTTCCATCCATTTATTTCTCTCTTTTTCTGTCTGTCTGTCTGTCTGTCTGTCTGTCTATCTCTGTCTGTCTGTCTTTTTCATCACCGTCATCATCATCATCTGTGTGTGTGTGTGTACACATTCCAGAGTCAGAAGAAACCTGCAGGAGTCAGTTCTCTTCTTCCACCGTGTGGAAGGCCCTGGATATTAAACTCAGGTCCGCAGGCTAGTAACAATGTCTCTCCCTGCTGAGCCATCTGGCTGGCCTGAATTTTTTCTTTTAGAGAGAGCTTCTCACTATGTAGCCCTGGCTGTACCAGTACTCTCTGTGTAGACCAGAGTGGCCTCAATTTCCCAGGTATCTTTCTACCTCTGTGTCCTTAGTGCTGGGATTAAAGGCATATACTGCCATACCCAGTTGAAATACATTTAAAAAATAAATTTAATTACTTTTATTTGTATAGTATATATGTGTAATGGCCCACAGGCCTACCCCTCCTCCCAGGGTTCATATTGAGGATAGCTAGCAGTTTCTGGCAAAACATCTTGTTTGTTCCTGTGCTCCTCTGCCCACCCTGGTGGTTAGCTATATGGGAGGTTTTTTTTTTTTTTTTTTTTTTTCCCATCTTGAGCCTGGTAATGTCCCACCTGCCTGGGGAATTTCCACTGTGCAGCAGTTAGGTATATAACGTTTTCTCTAAGTTTGAATAAACGGCATTCTGCATTCTCTCTTCACAAATGACACACGTCTCTTGTGTTCTTTAATCTCCAGCCCCTTGCCCGACTCGCTAACTGTCTGTCCTGTAGCACAGGCGCTTACATATATGTGCATGTGTGTGCATGTCTGCGCTACAGCATACCTGTGGGGTCAGAATAGCTTTCAGGACTCAGTCCTCCCTTCAGTCACGTGCTTCTCAGGGACTGAACTCGGGTCACCAGGATTGTCAGCAGGCCCCTTTACTCCCTAACTCAGTTTTCAAGACCTCAAATGAGACCAAAACCCTATGCTTTATTGCGTTTGTGAGAATTTAGAGTCCGGATCACACTAATTGTATTCGGCGCTTTCATTAATTTGTCCTTTCAGTAATACGATTCATCAGGGCTGTGTGTGTGCATGCATATGTGTGTGTATGCGAGTGTGCATGCATGCATATATATGTGTGTGTGTTTGTGTGTGCATGTGTCTGTCTGTGTGTGTATATGTGTGTGTTGTGTGTGCATATATGTGTGCATATATATGTGTGTGTGCCACACAGAAGACAGCTTGTAGTTGTTTCTCTCCTTCCAGGTTGTCCCTTAGGTGTGGCAGTGCGGTTTCCTTCCCCCCCCCCCTGAACTATCTTCCTGACCCTTCAATGGTTATCTTTAGCAGACAGGCAAGTAAGCTAAATCAGAGCACACCACCAGAGTGAAGGGTCCCTGGTCAAGTTGGTGGCTATGGCTGCTCTCAGTATCTGGAATTAGGAGTCTCACTCCATCTCTCCTTCCTCGAGGTGGTCTCCTTCTGGAATAGGGTGAGGACCCTTTCTGTGTTTGTTTCTGTGTGTGGCTGTGTGTACGCAGCACACACGTGGAGATCAGAGGACACCTTGTGGGAGTCAGTTCTCTCCTGCCACTGTTTGGGAGGACTGAATTCCGGTCACCGGGCTTGGCAGCAGGCATCTTTCCAATGGAACCCTCTCACCTGCCCATAAGTGGATGATTTGTTAGAGATTGTCCTTACCTACGATTCAGTTTGTTACAACTAGGTACATTAGACACAACAATATGCATAAGGGCCAGGTGGTGGTAGTGCACACCTTTAATCTCGACACTCAGGAGGCAGGGACAAGTAGATCTCTGGTTTAAGGACAGCTTGGTCTACAGAGTGAATTCCAGGACAGCCAGGGCTGCTCAAAAGACAAACAAAAACAAACATAAAAATAAAAAAGAATATGTATAAGGTATGACTATACAAAAAAATCACCAGGTGTACTAGGGGAAAGGGCAAGCATGCCTTGCTTATGTGTTACTCAGGAGGGGTTTGGGGATGCCTTCTGGACCCTGCCAAATAGACTTTTATTTTTTTCTAGAGCCCAGTTCTTCCCTTTTCTAGTTAGTGTGGCTAACTCTTACTCAGTCTTAAGCCTTCTTATCTGCCTCAGTGTTCTCAACCTTGTTCTTTTAATCCAAATATTAAAAAACCTTCCTCCTCTCTCCCTTCTCTCTGTGTGTGAGTGGGTGGTGTGCACATGCTTGTGTGTGTGTGTGTGTGTGAGCATGCCACTACCTGCATGTAGCTATCAGAGGACAGCACTGAGTATTGGTTCTATCTTGTTTGAGCTAGTGTCTCTCTGTACACCAGTATATACACCAGGCTAGCTGGCCTGTGCAATAGCCTTGAGGCGTCTCCTGTCTGACTCCCATCTCTCTGTAAGTAAAAGCATCAGGAAGCACTGGGATTACAGATGTGAACTACTGCATTTGACTTTCTGTGGATTCTAGGGATCCGAACTCAGGACCCTGCACTTGTGCAGCGAGCACCTTACCCATGTACATATCCATCTTCCCCAGTCCCTAGGGTTATTTCAGGGACAACACTTTCCTCATTCTTAGAGAAAAGGGAGAACTAAGGACTCTGTGTAAATAAGAAACCAAAACCATCTCTTCTTTGCCCTTGAGGAATTTTCTTTTGCCTTATCTGTGCCCTGTCCCACATAAAGCAAACTTTGATGCTGTATACTCTAGGCATCCTTTAAGCACGAGTCAGGGTTTCTTCTGGAATCCTGGGCTGGAGCTGAAGATGAGAATACTGTTCCCTCCCACCAGTGGACACAAGTGCTGTGAAACCTGCCTTTTCCCTTTGCTATTGACCTTTATGGGTGTTGCAAGCGTTGTTCCTTTAATGTTTGCTTTCACTAGCTTGTCTGCAGGGCCGTTTGTTTGTTTGAGGAGAGTGTCTGGGTTACCATGTGGGCTGCTGGGACTGCATGCTGTGTGTGTGTGTATGTGTGTTGTGCAAGTGTTTAAACATATGTGTGGGGGCTAGAGGTTGATGTCTTGTGTCTGCCTCAGTTGTTCCCCACTTTATATTGAGACAGGACCTCCCACCAAATCGGAACCTCACGTGTTTGTCTTGACTGGTTGGCCAGTAAGTCCCGGGTATCCTCCTGTCTCTGCCTCCCCATTTCTGGGATTACAGATATGTGCTGCTTGCTTGAATTTGGGTCCTAATATCTACACAGCAAGCGCTGTAGAGACAGCTGTCTCCCCAGATGACGGTTTATGCTTTTATGCATCTCTCTGTGCCCACAGACCCGCCCCCTCTGCAGCTAAGCTGGGAGAAGCCACCTTTCCCACCTGCAGCTTTGGCTTAAGGCACTTCAGAGGCAGAACAAACCACACTGCCTAGACTCTGGCTTCATCACCTAATGGGCCACCCACAGCTCTCCAGGGTCAGAAAAGAGCACACTTCATCCTGGTCTTCGGGGGTCACACTGCGATCTCATCTATAAAGGTCAGCTCAGAAGCCTCTGCCACACCAGATACGTGGGTAGAGTTGGAGGCTGGTGGAGGCCAGTGTGTCTCCTACAGAACTTCACTGTGAACCATCGGGAAGAGTCATCAAAGATCAGTTTTGGTAACATTCTGATGTAACCCCGCTTCAATCGATGGGAACAATCGACTTGCCATCCCCACCTCCACTCATTTAGACGACGGTCCACCCTGCTCAAAAGCGGATGTGTGAGGAGAGGCAGTTCCCCGTTTGTCTTATGCTCCCTGTGTGTCCTTGCTTGGCATCTCAAAAATGCAGAAGCTGAAGCTGGAGAGAGGCACCCATATAAAATTTGTGCACATCTGTAATCCAGCACTAGGGGGCAGACCCAGGATTACCACAGGAATGTGCAGGCAGGGGTGTTGGAGGCTTTGTTGGCAGGCATGTTAGCTGGCCAGTGCCAGGCTCGGTGGCAGACTTTGGCTTAGAAACAAACAAGGAGCCAGGCTTGGTGGCACACACTTTTAAGCCTGGCACTGGGAGGTAGAGGCAGGTGGATCTCTGTGAGTTTGAGGCCAGCCTGTTCTACACAGCAAGTGATGGGCTGACCAGGGCTCCACAGTCAGATCCCATTGCCTAAAGCAAAAGAGGCAATAAGGTGGAGCGGTGATTGAGGGAGACCTTCTAAGTTTACCTCAGGCTTCCACAAATGCCTATATGGGTGAGCACACCTGCACACACATGTGTAAGCATTCACTACTCCCCTCCCGTTGTCTGTTCTTTGTCCAGGCCATTTTTCAGAGAATGGAGTCTTGTCTTTTCTTTTCTTTTCTTTTCTTTTCTTTTCTTTTCTTTTCTTTTCTTTTCCTTTCTCTCTCTCTCTCTCTCTCTCTCTCTCTCTCTCTCTCTCTCTCTCTCTCTTTCTCCCCCCCCCCCCCCAGTTTTTCGAGACAGGGTTTCTCTGTAGCTTTGGGCCTGTCCTGGAACTAGCTCTTGTAGACCAGGCTGGTCTTGAACTCACAGAGATCCGTCTGCCTCTGCCTCCCAAGTGCTGAGATTAAAGGCGAACGCCACCACCTGCCGGCCAGTGGAGTGTTTTCATGGGACAAAATGCCAACCCCCTTTGCAAAAACAAACAGGTGCCCTTACTGTTATTTGCAAACACGTGATTTCACCAAGACCGATATTTCTAGACCGCAACATAAATCTTTCCAGTGCTCATCTGGCTACAGAGAGACATTAGAATTTTAGGGGCCTAAGGGAACTTTGGCCAAGAAAGATACACACGCTTCAGTTGGTGCCTCAGTCCATAGGGCTCTTTTTCGCAGCGCTCCTGTCTTTTGCAGGTGTTCTGAAAACAGCAGCAGGCCTGTAATTCTGGACCCTGAGGAGCACCCACACTAGGGGACAATCCTATGCCTCTCTCCCCCTCATTGCTCACCTTTTGCAGGTATTGGTGTTCTTTGCGGCTGAAAGGACCTTTGACTTGAGTCAGCCAACTCATCTGTGATGGAGCGGTATATTAGTAAGGGTGCAGTTTTGGGTATAGTCAAAGACAATCTGGCCTTGGTTGTGGGCTTGCTATAACCTCTAGGAAGGGGGCTGGAGAGATGGCTCAGAGGTTAAGAGCATTGCCTGCTCTTTCAAAGGTCCTGAGTTCATTTCCCAGCAACCACATGATGGCTCACAACCATCTGTAATGGAGTCTGGTGCCCTCTGCTGGCCTGCAGGCATACACACAGACAGAATATTGTATACATAATAAATAAATATTAAAAAAAACCGCTAGGAAAAGATGAAAAAATAAATTAAAAAAAAAATAAAAAATTCACTGTAACTTCTCCAAATGGTCGCTTGGTGGCGCCATATCCTGAACAGTGTGGTGTAATTTTACCGCAACCGATGTTCTCAGGATGCACTCATCAGGAGGCAAAGTCCTCCGTGGGGTGTGGGGGTGGTGCAGGTATGTACTTTTGCCTGGATTTATGATTCCTGATTTGACATTTTAGGGAATAACCTTAGATGATTGCAGAATCTTCCAAGCCCGGCCATTCAGAGGGAACCTGGGGGCTTGTACGAGTTAGTCAAGTGCCATCTAAAACTGATATATCCCTAATCTCTTTTTTCTCCTCCTCCTTCCTTCTCTTCCCCTTTGTCCTCTTGATCACCCTCCTTCCCTTCTCTCCCTTCCCCTCCCTCTTCTCTCCTCCCTTTCTTCATCTTCTCCCCTCCTCCTCTTCCCCACCACCTTATTTTCTCCTCTTTTCCTTCTCTTCCTCTTCTCCCTTTTATTTTGAAGCTCATGCAGTTCAGGCTAGTCTTCTGCTTGCGCCGCTCCCGCTACCTCGGCTTGCTGAGCTGCTGGGTTTCAGGCCTGCACCACCAGGCTTTGCTGGATCCCCGTTGGCAGGCTGTCTGTCCAAAAACCGTGTCATAGAGGCTTTTGGTCCTGGGATCCCAAGTTCCATGCAAGGCTCTGCTCAGTGTGGGAAGAGGAGAGCCTGCACCCTGGATTCCTCTTGGACCTCTGGTGTGGCTTTGCTAGAGGAACCATCCTTTATTATCCCCTTGGCATCCACCCTTAAACCCACCCTTTAGTCTCCAAGGGATTTGGTTGGAGCTGGGGTGAGGAAGAAACTGCCTGGCGTTCCTTCCCTGCTTTCTATCCCAGTTCTCCCCAACTTTGGTTGCTGCAGTGCAGTTTGCAGCCTGGCAGGCTTTAAAAAATTATATCTCTCGGGGCAGGGAGATGGCTCAGAGGTTAAGAGCATTGGTTGCTCTTCCAGAGGTCCTGAGTTCAATTCCCAGCAACCACATGGTGGCTCATGACCATCTAAAATGAGATCTGGTGCCCTCCTCTGTCATGCAGGCAGAACACATACATACATACAATATATAATAAACCTTTAAAAAAATTATAGCTCCCCCCTTAAACATGTATAAAATCGCTGGAGCGGGGATATAGCTCAGTTGGTAGAGTACTCGGCTCTGGGTACCATCTCCCCCCACACCATGGGTGTGTTTGTGCATGTTGGGGAAGTAAAGGCAGGAGTGTGTGTGTGTAGATTGTGTAAGTGCACATGTGTGTAGGTGCTCAGGCCTGTGCAGAGGCCAGAAGAGGCTGTTGAATGCCCTGCCTTACCACTCACTGCCACGTTTCTCCAAGGCAGGGTTTCTTACTGAACCTGAAGCCAGGTCGGCAGCCAGCAAGCCTAAATCATTACTCCCTGCCCACCCCCAGACAGTGTTGAGGCTACAAGAATGCATTAACCACACTTTTTTTTTTCCCATATGAGTGCTGGGGATTTCAGACTCAAATCCTTATGCTCCCACAATGAACACTCTTACCCTCTGAGCCATCTCTCCAGTCCTGTTTACGTGTGTATGTGTGTGTGTAAATATCTGTGCTGTTGATAGTCTTAGGCGACCCCTGTGAAAGGGTCATTCGATCCTAAAGGGGTTGCAACCCACAGGCTGAAAACCGGTATTCTAGACTGTTGGGCTTCTTTGCACTCCTTACCCATGGGTGAGCCTGCTCCCCGAGTACCCGGCTACCCAGGGTCTTGGCACACATCACGAACATCTGGCTGTGGGAGGAGGCTGGTCTCATCTGGTGGGAAGAGGAGGGACAGCGAGGACATTGTTGGTGGCATAAAGCAGTGCCGTGAGAGCTTCCTGGCACTAAGCCAAAGAAAGTTACTCTGAAAGAGATGCTTGTCTTGGCGTTTTAATGTCTCGACAGCAGCTTAGAAACAAATAGGCGGAACATCGCTCCCTCCAGCCCTCAGTGCCAAGTGTAGCCTCCTCTCCTGAAACCCACACTGGCCGGGGCTGTGGGCATTTATAAATAGAGCCATTGAGGAATCAGGAGAAATTCATGCATCACTGAAAAACGTTCTTATTGCCTGGGCCCTGGGCATCACCCCACTTTCCACCCCCAGTGCAGACATTTTAACTCTCTGGCTGGGCTGTCTGTGTGACCCCAAATGGTGGGGTCACAGTTCTCAGTTTCCAAATGCTTGCTTACCACGAGCAGAGCTGCAGTGCACTTGACTCCGTGGACTCTTCTGAAGAAGTGGTTCAGTAAACCACGGGGAAAGTATGGTCCTTGACTTGTTTCTATTTTACCTCTTCTATTCACTGTTTCAGTGACCTATTCAGGTCATTTTTAACCCCTTCACATCTTAGTTTCCTATAACCCGAGAGTGGCATTAAAATCCACTTCCTAAGCTTGGAATGAGGGTCAAATGAGGTAATATTTGTGACTGCTGACAAAGGTATTGCTTCTCTAATCTCCTCCCTTCTTTTTTCCCTCCCTTCCTTGCACTTTCTTTGCCCTTCCTTCCTCCCCTCCTCTCCTCTCCTCTCCCCTCCTCTCCCCTCTCCTTCTCACCCATCTTCTGTTTTTGATCTTCTCCTGCCTCTACTTCCCAAATTCTGGGATCATGAGAAAGAACACACTTGGCTTAAGCTTTCTTCTCATTCATTCATCCATCCATTCATTCATTCATTCATTCATTCATTCATTTTTTGTGTGTGTATGTATGTGAGCGCATGTGTGTGTGGGGTCAGGGAACAACTTCCAATGGTCAGTCCTCTCCATCCACAATGTTGTGCAAACTTACAGTCATCAAGACTTAGGTCTACACTAGATTCACTAACATTATTCGTTATAGAAAAAACCCCCACAGGAGCTGGAGAAATGAAATAGGAATACGGAATTCAGAGTAGAATTTACCCTTCTCCGTCTGTGGACATTCAAAGAAAAGAGTGAGTGATAGGAGGTAGGAATACCATGAAGCGTCAGTGCCGAGCTCGCACACAGGTGCCCATTCATACATGTCCACACGTATGCATGTGCCTGAGAGAGAATGGAGTGCCATCACATTGTTTCTAAGGGCGTCTTTCTCTGAATGGCTGCCTCAGTAAAGATGAGTGTAATTAAAGTTAATGATTGGTAGCTATTTCTCGAGTTCATCAAAGGACTAGACTAATTTGCATTAAAAATTGACTATATATTTACTTATTTTGCATGTATGTTACAAAATAGTTTCACTATATTTAGGAGAATATTTGTGATTCAAAAGTATTTGTGATCCAGGCACGATGACACAGGTCTGGAATCCCAGTACTTGGGAGGTGGAGGCAGGAGGAACAATTCTTTGGCTAGATGGAGTGTGAAGCCAGCTTAAACTACATGAAAACAAACAAGCAAGCAAACAAATAAACAAAAAAAAAGAGGGTTCTGGGAAGGTGGCTGCATCCATGGAATGCTTGCCTTGTGAGCATGAGTACCAGGTTTGAGCTCCAGAACTCATGCAAAACAAAAACAAAAACAAAAACAGAAACAGAAACAAAACCAAAACCAAAGAACCCTGGGTGTGGAGCCTGCACTGGTTCTAGCCTGATGGGGTCCCAGCCATGGGAGGGGGAAGTAAACAAGGGCTCCCACCCCTAACTAAGACGCTATCTGCAACTGATACTCACTAGCAAAGGAAAAATTAGTTTTCTCCCATGAAGTCTCACAGAGCATATTAACCACGGTTCAGGGCAGACTCCATACACAGAAGAAGTTGGCCAACTTAGAATGAGCTCAATGGTATTTTTGTAGTCATATTGTTTTGTTTGGGCCCTTTTTTGTCTCCTTGATCTTTTGCTTGTGTATTTTGGTTTACATGTTTTATTATTATTATTATGTTTCTTAATTTTTGTTTTTGTTTTTTTTTCAAGAGAGAGAGAGAGAGAGAGAGAGAGAGAGAGAGAGAGAGAGAGAGAAAGGCATGGAGTTGGGTGGGTGGGGAGGTAGGAATGATTTGGGAGGAGTTGTGAGAGGGAAAATGTGTGATCAGGATATAGTGTATGAAGTTTTTCAATTAAAAATACATCTTAAAAATTAAAAAACAGGGGGCTGGAGAGATGGCTCAGTGGTTTAGAGCACTGTCTGCTCTTCCAGAGGTCCTGAGTTCAATTCCCAGCAACCACATGGTGGCTTACAACCATCTGTAATGAGATCTGGCGCCCTCCTCTGGCATGTGGGCATACATGGAGGCAGAATATTGTATACATAATAAATAAATAAATCTTAAAAAAAATTTAGAGTATAGATGTGTTGCTATAAATAATATAGGGATTTATTTAAAAAAAATTAAAAAACATATTTTATTTTATTTTTATGGTTTTTCAAGACAGTTTTCTTTGTGTAGCCCTGGCTGTCCTGGTACTAGCTCTATAGATCGGGCTGACCTTGAATTTAGAGATCTACCTGCCTCTGCCTCCTGAAGGCTGGGATTAAAGGTGTGTGCCACCACACCCAACTAAAATAAATATTTAAAAAACCAGGGCATGGTGTGTGTTTGTAATCTCAGTACTGAGGTGACAGAGATGGGCAGATCTTTAGGGCTTGTTGGCCAGTCAGGCCTACGTGGTGAGTTTACAGGCCAGCAAGAGAGCCTGTCTCACCACACAAGGTGGATAACCCCTGAGGAATGAAAGCTGAGGTTGACCTCTGCATGCAAACATAAACATGTGCACACACATGCATCTATACACCCATGAACATGTACATACGTACCTCCCAATATTTGTAATTTGTCTGGGAAGGTTGGCTAAGAACCGCTGTAGACTGCTGATAGCCAACCAGGAATTTAAATGGAATAAATGTTTACTTTCCTTCCTATGAAAGAAGTTCAGGATTAAGCCTCTCTGCATGCCCAATTTTGTTCTTCCCCTTTCTTAGCTGCATCTCTGGAGGGGATCCTGGCTGAAGTGATGCAGGAAGGAAGGGGTATGAAGCAGGTGTCTAAGCTCTCACTTGGGCTGCGGGAGAGGGGTTCAACTTTCTGAGCTGCCGAGGGGACATGCAGTACATTCCCATGGTTCTTTAAGAGTTGCTCTATTCTCCCAGCCAAAAGGACATTGAAAAGTCACCATGAATTCTGGGACAAAGACTACCTGAGGACATGAAGCAAATCATACACACACACACACACACACACATGAATGCACATACATGGGTACTCATGGAGACATAAACACTCTTTAATTTTTTTGGCTTTATTTTATGTGTCTTTTTTATTATTTATATGTCTTTTGCCTGTATGTATGTATGTATGTATGTATGTATGTATGTATGTATGTATGTGCACCATATGCATGTCTAGTGTCTGAGGGAGGTCTTAAAAGGGCATTGAATCCCCTGGAACTGGAGTCTTATAGATGGTTGTGAGCTGCCATGTGGGTCCTGGGAACTGAACCTGGGTTTGCTGTAAGAGCAACCAGTGCTCTTAACCAACCCTGAACATTGTCTCCAGTCTCCCTTTTAAATTTTTTTTTTCGTTTTTTTGAGACAGGGTTTCTCTGTGGCTTTGGAGCCTGTCCTGGAACTAGCTCTTGTAGACCAGGCTGGTCTCGAGCTCACAGAGCCTTTTAAATTTTTGGACAATCACATAATGCATACATTGTACTCACTTGCCTATCCTCATCTCCCACTTATGCCTTCTTCCTAATTAGTCCCTTTGGTACATTCCTTTCTCTCTCTCTCTCTCTCTCTCTCTCTCTCTCTCTCTCTCTCTCTCTCTCTCTCGTCTGTGTACAAGTCTTGCACAGGTAACCGTGAGTTCATGATTGCAGCGTCACATCTGGAAGACAGCATTCCATAGTGTTCCTCTCCATTCTCGGACTGCCACAGTCTCTCTTTCCCTCTTCTGAGGAGTTCCTTGGGTTTTGGAGGAGACAATATAGATGTCCTGTGTAGGGTTGAGCACTCTGGGCAGTTTGAATAGTAATGAGTCTCTGTGTAACCGTCTTTCACAGAAAAAAGAAGCTTCTCTGACCTAGGGTAGCACTATTCTAGGTAGTAGAGTATATATATATATATAGAAAAAAAAGGCAAATATTTTTCCTTTTATTGAAAATAGAGTCTTGCCAGGTAGTGGTGGCGCATGCCTTTAATCCCCGCACTTGGGAGGCAGAGGCAGGCAGACCTCTGTGAGTTTGAGGCCAGCCTGGACTACAAAACAAGTTTCAGGATAGCCAAGCTACACAGAGAACTCTTTCCTGAAATCCACCCCCCCAAAAGAAAAAAACCAAAATACCCAAATCAAAACAAAACAAAAAACCAATCAAGCAATCAACCAACCAACCAAACAAACAAACAAGAAAATAGATTCTTTTCTCGTACAACGTATTCTGTTTATAGTTTCTCCTCCCTGCATTTCCTCCCAATTCCTCTTCACCTTCCCTCCCTTCAGGATCCACTCTCTTTCTGTATCACTAAAAAAGGTTTCTAAGAAATGACAACCAAAATGACAAAATAAAATATAATAAGATGAAGCAAAAATCACCTCACGGAGGCTGGACAAGGCAACCCAACAGAAGGAAAAGAGCCCCAAGACAGGCACAAGAATTCGAGACCCATTAGCTCACCCAGAAGTCCCATAAAAATATGAAGCTGAAAGCTGTAAGATCTATGCAGAGAACCTTGTGAAGATTCATGTAGTGAGCATAAATAGTTATTACGCAGATTGAGAACATGTCTGGTTAGCAAAATATCAGTAATAGGTTTCCTACTAGGGCCTATGACCTCCCCAGGCATAGACTTTTGACCAGGCTTGCATTACCTGGTGTGTATTCCTTCCAACACACAGGCACATTCTTACACGAGTAAGCTTGTTCTCTGGGTACTTTGGATGCACTTTCAGTTCTGAATGAGTGAGTTTGTTAAGCATACAGAAAACCAAAGTAAAATAGAAAGTGATAGGTGGACCGAGATGAGCATCATCAAATTTGGGGCTTACAAACATACACCAGGAAATGACTGGGGAGACACAGTCAACTGGGGTTTCCCACAGACAGCATTCTGGGCAGAGCAGGGTGTTCCCTCTAGTGAAGCTTCTAAGGAAAAGAACAACCCTACACGAAGAACTACAGGTAGCTGGGTAAAGCTGGGAGAGGAGGCCATTCCCAGGGAAGAGCGTTCCCAATGGTTGTCCAGTACCAAATAGTCAGCCATAAAAATCAAACACCTTAGTAATGTTATATGGACTCCAGGGGTTATATTTAGCAATATATATGTACACATAAAAACATACACGCATGCAATAACAGTTGATGAAATAAAAAGGCCATGAATTTGAAGGAGATATAAAATGGTATGTGGGAGGGTTTGGAGGGAGACGAGAAGGAAGAGAAGTTACAATTAAAATACAGTCTCAAAAAGAAAAAATAAAAGAAAAAGAAAAAAATAAAGAGCAAAGAATAGCTAGAAGTAGCATCATCAGATTGGGTGTTCACAGGATCCAGCAGACACTGACTGGGGATGTCGAGGCAGGCAGCTGGAGTTCTCTTCTTAGCTCTCTCTCAATGGCTGAGCTCCCCTTATCTGAACTTCCAGCTCTCCTCCCATTCTAGGTAGTTTTGTATCATGGGGTACCCAAGGGTGCCTTCTGCTGTGCTTTTCAACCGTTCGTTTTCCCTCTAGCTGTTTGCAAGGCTACAATGCTCTTATTGTAGCTGTTTGTTGTTCCCTTCCCTCCCTGTCACAGAGTCTGGGAGGCAGTCCTTCTCTAGACAAAGGGCCTTGGAGGACACAAGACAAACACACTTGGGTCTGAAATGGGAGAGGACAGTTCCACTTCCACAGGCAGCTTCTCAGTGAGCTCAAACGTCCCAAGACAATTAACCAATATAATGTACATAATAAACCACTCTCCGTTCAGATGACCTCAAAAGTTCCCATCCCCATTCACTTAGAGGATACGTCCTGTACCATTGACACCAGACTCATTCTCCAGAGTTCATGCCTGGAGGGCTGGGTCCTTTAATTGGAATTCTTTTATGCGGCAGGGAGCCTGCCAGGAATGAAAAAGAGAAGGCGAAAGAGTGGGCAGCTGCAGAAGGCAGGGCCATCCCAAGAGCCTGGACCCTGAAGGCTCCAGCGTGAGGATCCCTTCTGGCTACTTTCCTCTGTGGTTGACGCTTCTGCTTGGGGCTGCCAGGCAAGTACTGGTAAGTCCATGGGCAGATCTGAGGTTATTCTGGGTTCTGGAGAGGTCTGTGAGAGGATGCATTCAGGATTTCTTAGAGATAGCTTTGAATTCACATAAGATCTAGAAGTCAGGGATATTGCCCCAAAGATTCTGCATCTCCGCTCATACCGGTTTTGGAGGCCACACTTTGAAGAGAAGCATCTACATTGCATCCCAGGCCAGGTGAAGGGAGGTGGGAACAATCAGTTTAGGCTTGCACTGCCTGGTTTCTCCCTACTCACGGGTTCTTTTCCTCTGTGGCTTCTTAACTTTCTGGAATGTATCCAGTTACTGGTGGAATCCTGACATCCCTCTCCACCCCAGCCCCTCTACCACCACCAAAAGTAGGTGAGACGCTTTGAAAAATTCTCATTTAAATGGGGTTTTAAATAATCTCTTTAGGTACTAGAAAATCTGCTCAAATTCTGGGTTTTTCTTTCCTTGTTTAATTTTTAGTCTTCTATTGTTACTTCACTTACGCTTTATTTGTTTGTTTGTTGAGGCATAGTCTCGTTTAGTCCAGACTAATCCTAAACTCAGCATAAAATTGAGGATGATTTTGAATTTTTGCCTCCATCTCCCCAGTGCTAGAATTATGGGCGTGCACCATACCTGGTTTATGCTGTGCTGTGGATAAAACCCAGGGCCTTGAGCATGGGAGGCAAACATTCTACCAACTCAGCTACATCCTTAGCTCTATTTATGTTCGGAAGCTCAGCATACAAAGCAATGTGTTTCATTATGGCATGTCCATGTGTACCTTGATTTATTGTTGTTTCTTCCCTCAGTTTCCCCCTTGACCCCTCTGCTAGGCTTTGTCCCCCTCATCAGCCCCCATTCTGCTTCCATATGTCAGATCTATTCTGTTCCCCTTTCCTTTCTCACTGTCCTAAGATCTCTTTCCCCTCGAATTTGATGTTCCTGGTCCCTAAGCATAGTCCCCATTCTAGTTTCATGACCCATATCCGCATAGGTATACATATGTAAAACTTAAGATCTGGGACCTGCCTAGGAGAGAAACGTGCAGTATATGTCTTTCTGGGCCTTGGCTACTTCGTTTAATATGATGACTTTCTGGTCCATCCATTTTCCTATTGTTTCAGTGAACTAGGGGTTGATCACAGGAAATCAGGAGAGAATTTGCTACTTGTGTTATTGTGTTTGCACTCAAAACAGTTCCGTTTCTTGCGCTGGGAAGAAGGCTTCATGAGTTAAGTGCTTGCTATGAAAACATGAGGACCCGAGTTAGAATCCCCAAAACTCACATGAAAACTGGGGCGTGGTAGTGCATGTCTATAACCTCTGCAGTACTGTAGTGGGCGAGAATCCCTGGAATCTCATAGGCTACGTAGCCTGGCGTTCACAGTGACAAACAAGAGACTCTGCCTCAAGCAACGCTGAAGGTAAGGATTGACACGGGGTTGTCTACCTCTGCGTTCACGCTGTAGCTGAGGCACATCCCACCCTCCTCTCTCTCTCTCTCTCTCTCTCTCTCTCTCTCTCTCTCTCTCTCTCTCTCTCTCACACACACACACACACACACATACACACACATACACCGCACACACATGAAAGTAAAAATATTTCAGATTTTGTAGCATTTGAGATTTTTAGGTTTTTTGAATTCAGAATATTTAAACCGTAGCGGACATTTTATTATTATTGTCCTGACTTTCAAAAGGAAAAAAAAACACCCCAAATTTATTCTATATTTGTGTCATTTTGTTACTTTATTAATTCTATCTTTTAAATTTTATTTTTCCAAGGATGCTTATATAATGCCTCAATTTATTTTCTTTAGAATCAGCATGGATTTTAGAAATGTTTTATTAGCTTACATTAGTACATGATTACTGATTTCCTCATGACATTTTCATACATGTATATCATGCTTTTTCTTGAGTCCCTGCCTTGTACATTCTATTGCTTCCTCGCTTTCCTACTGATCCCGCTTCTTGTGCCAAAGGCCTCTTTCTGCCTTCTCTCCCTTCCTTCCTCCCTCCCTCCCTCCCTCCCTCCCTCCCTCCCTCCCTCCCTCCCTCCCTCCCTCCCTTCCTTCCTTCCTCCCTCCCTCTCTCCCTCCTTCCCTCCCTCCCTTTCTCCCTCCCTCCCTCCTTTTGTGTGTATCTGGTGCTTGTGACTCTTCACATGGCTGTGTGTCCATGTGCATGGAGGTCAGATGTTAACTTTAGGGTCTTCACGAATTGGTCTTCACTGTACTTTTTGAGACAGAGGTGCTTTCTAAACTTGGAGCTCACTAATGATTGGCTGGGCTGGCTGGCCAATGGACTTCAGGGATTTGCTTGTTTCTCCTCGCTTCCTCCTGCCCTGCCCCTCAGCAGCCCTAGGTTACTGAAGAGTGCTGCTACGCCTGGCTTTTATGTGAGTGCTGGCTATTCAAACTGAGACCCAAATGCTTTTATGAGGGGCATCTTACCTACTGTGCTATTTCAAAATTAGGGAGTGGGTTTTGAAGTACAGGGACCGTAATCTGGGGATCAAATGTTGGCAGTAGTGGGAAAGGAGAGGCCTGAAGTGCTAGCTCCGGAAAGGATGGTGGTATTCGACAGGTGTAGGACCACCTCTCTTGAGGATAGAAGAAGGAAGGAAGACTAAGGCAGAGAAAGGAACGATGGCGAGGTGGCCTACTGGTAGAGGCACTCGTTACACAAGCTTAGCCACCTGAGTCTGATCCGTTGAAGCCACGGGAAGGTGGGAGGAACGAACTGACTCCACAGCCTTGTCCTCTGATTTCCCCAGGCATGCTACGGTATGTGTGCCCCTCCCCTAGGTGTGGGAGGGCACGTATACGTGTGCACACAATAGAGACAGTTGTGGATAGTCACACTGGATTAGGGAAGTGGCAACCATGGGTTCCCCTCACTCTGACTCCATTCTAAATACTTATCCCAATACCCACAAGTAAGCGTAGCTCTCACCTGTCAATAAAGAAACTTCTGTTGGCAGCAGATGGAAAGATACAGCTGGTCATATTGCAGAGAGCCACTGATTGCAGGGGGCCCAGCTCCAGTTGATGCATCTACAGTACAGCCTTACACCTATGGCTCAGGAAACCCTTCACAAGACAGGGGCAGAAAGATGAGAAGAGTCAGAGGACCAGGACTTCTAATGAATGAGCCCAAGAAAGCTCAACAAGCTAAACAAGACCTGAAAAATGATAATACCGGATTATGTGCCGCTGAGGAAGGGGGAAATCTCATGCGGCCACATTCCTAGATAGAGTTACAGGCAATTGATGGCTTCCAAAAAGGAGGAATTAGTGTTCTCCATGGGCAAGCACCTTATAGGTTATCTAACCCCAGGTGGCCATCTCTAAACATACACACATATGGGACTCAACAGTTTGTGTGTGTCTATATGTAGATGCATAGACACACATGTATGAAATAATAGCAATTAAAGAATAAGAGGCCATGACTTTGAGAGGGAGTTGAGGGATATGGGTAAAGTAGGAAGGATTCTGGGAAAATGATGTAAATACAGTACTCATCTATAAAATTCTCATAAAAGGGAAAAAAGATAAAGAATTATTTATAGAGCTTTCTGGAATAAGAAGTTTGCACAATATCTTAGTATAATAAAACTGTTGTGAATATTTTTGAAGGAGTAATTTATAATCCACAGAACTTATTTTTTCCCAGTTCTGGAGGCTAAGAAGTCCAAGAGGCAGGCACTAGCAGGTCGGGTGTAGACCTTTTCCTTATGGATGGTGATGTCACTGAGTCATCAACTGATGGAAGGGGTTGAAGGGCTCCCTAAAATATCTTTTATAACCCCATTTACGACTTAAAGGCTTTTCTTCTTTTTGTTTTTTTTTTTTTTTTTTAGGTCGAATCTAGGGCCTCTTGAATGATAAGCAGGTACCTCCAATAACACACTGGGGGATTCTAGGCAGGTGCTCTACCACTGAGCCACACAGTTAACTCCCCACCACATTTCAGCATCTGACTTTGGGGAGGACACCAACAGTTAGATCACAGAACATGATCATTAGGGAATGAGAATGGGAAGATGGTCTGATATGGCAGTGGCTGGAAGCAACTTTTGGGCACCGAAGAAGGTTTCTATTAAGGAAGAGATAAATATGGCAAGCTTGGTATTATGGCCAGAGAACTGAGATATTTCTGAAATTTATCCTCAATAATAGTTACCCCTCATCATGAGGGAGATAATCATTTAAAGAACAGAGATTAGACATTTTAACTTCTATGCTCTGCCCCCAAACCCTATGGCATTTAATTATGGCAAATTGTTGTTTCCGAGATTGTAAGGTATAAAGAACATTAGACTAGAGTAAATGCTGACATTGACTCTGGTTATTTCATCCCATTTCTTTCTAGCTCCCTAGTCGATATATGTTGTGGTAGGTTTAAATTAAAAAATTATTTATTTTATTTTATGTGTGTGAGTGAATTTTGCATGCATGTATGTATGTGCACCACATGTGTGCCACCATGGAGTACAGAAAAGGGCATTGGATCTGCTGGAACTGTAGTTGCAGATGGTCGAGAGTCACCATTGTGGGTGCTGGGAACTGATCCAAGGTCCTCTGCAAGAGCAGAAAGTACTCTTAACCATTGAGCTATCTTTCTAGCCCCTGTAGTGATACGTTTAACTGTAAACTTGATACCAACTAGGAAGGGAGTCTCAATGAGGGATTGCTGATCGGATTGTGTGTGTGTGTGAAGCAGTTTGTCTTTATTGGCTGAATTGGGAATTGGTTCGGGAAGACCCAACCTTAAAGTAGGTGGCATCATTGCCTGGGTTTGGGTTCTGGGCTATGTAAGTGTAGAGAAGGCAAGCTGATCACTAAGCCTGCATGCCTTCATTTCACTTTGCTCTTGAGTGTGGATATGATGTGAGCAGTGTTTAAGTTTCTGCCACCTTTATGCCCCTGCTTTGATGAGCTAGAGTAAATTTTTGTAATTTTGTAAGCTACATTGTGAGTTAGAGTAAATTCCCTCTTCTTTAACCTTTCTTTCCCAGTTAGAAATGAACTAAGACACCTACCTAGATTCCTATTATTCACTTACATTTCTTTACCTTGTAAATAAGGGCAACCAGAAACTTGGTATTAACTTGGTTTAGATGAGTGTGCTCACAGAAGTCTATCCATACAAAAAGACTTGGCCCTTAGGGTTGTGATATTAGAGGGTCTGTGGACCTGAAAGAACTGCTGTCTGGGGCTAGAGAGATGGTGTGGTTAAGAGTGCTTGTTGCTCTTCTAGAGGACCTGAGTTTGATTCCCAGTGTCCATGTCTGGTGACTCACAATCACTTGTAACTCTAGCTGAAAGGGATCTGATGCCCTCTTCAGGTATCCATGGACAGGCATGCACACACACCTGGCATAGACACACACCCACACACACATACACACACCCATACATATATAAAAATAAATATAAGATGCGGAGCCTAATGGGAGGTCTTTAACTCACTGAAGACATGTTTCTTGTGTGTGTGTGTGTGTGTGTGTGTGTGTGTGTGTGTGTGATTCTCTGGGAGTCATCCACCTTACTTTTTGAGACAAGCTCTCTTGCTGGTTGGAGGCTCTCCAGCTGGCTCGGATCTTCCTGTCCCTGCCTCCCCAGCAGTGGGATTCCAAGTCCACACCACCACACTCAGCATTTTCACATGGGTTCTGAGGATAGAGCTTAGGTTTTCACACTTGGGTGGTACTTTACTGATTGAGTCACTGCTCCCCCCCACCCCAAATCCATGAAAATATACTCTTGAAAGGAATCATGGAATTCTGTTCATCTTCCCCCACTTTTTGGATAGAAACTTTTTGCTCAATGTATTTCTTCCTCATTGCTATCCAAGACATGCCATGTTCTTTCAATGAGTGACCTTCACCAAGTATGTGCTATGCCATTTGGAGTCCAAACCTTCACAACTGTGAGCTAGTTAACCTTTTTATGTTTATAAAGGTAATTACCTCAGGCATTGCTTTGTGGGCATGCAAAGTAGGCTATATGGTGTTTTATTAATTTTGGAGAGGAGCAAAAAAGCTTGCTTTGCAAACCCTTGGATTAGCAGGTGAACAAGACATCTGAAGCCTCCCCTGAAGGGCAGTGAGTGGGACACCTCTTCTGATAATTGTTCTCTGCTCAGTGGCAGAATGTGTGGCAAGTTCCTGAGGCAGCTGTTGGCTAAGGAGAGCCAGCATTCCACCCCCGTGGGGCGCTTCCTGCTTCCGGTGCTGATGGGATTCCGCCTCCTGCTTCTGGTTTCCAGTGGACCTGGGGTCTTCGGTGATGATGAGAGCGAATTCATGTGCCATTTAGGGCAACCAGACTGCAAGACCATTTGTTATGATGTCTTCCGCCCCCTTTCTCCGCTGCGTTTCTGGGCCTTCCAAGTCATCTTGATGGCTGTACCCAGTGTAGTTTATGTGGGTTTCACTATGTATCATGTGATTGGATACTGGGAGGAACCAGAAAAAGGGAACAAGGAACAAGAGTCCCGGATTTGCAAGGGGGACCGCAGTAAAGATGTCTCAGGGACTGGAAGCCTCAAGCTTCTTTGGGCCTATGTGGCACAGCTTGGGGCCCGACTGGTCCTTGAGGGAGCAGCCCTGGGACTTCAATACCATCTGTATGGCTTCAAGATGCCCAGCACTTTTCAATGTCGTGAGGATCCTTGTATCGGCAGCACAACTTGTTTCCAGTCGCACCCCTCTGAGAAGACCATCCTCCTCAACACCATGTTTGGGATTAGTGGGGCCTGTCTCTTGTTTACTTCCTTGGAACTTGTACTTTTGGGTTTAGGGAGGTTTTGGAGGATGTACAAGGACAGACTCCCCCTTTTAAAGAACCTGCCAACCTCAAAGAACTCTGTAAGGCGCAAGGACACAGCTGATGACTTGACAGTGGTGGAGACGAAAGAACCGTTTTGAGAAGCAGGTGAGGATCCCATTGACATGACAGTTATCTGTCCCTGCGTCTGATGTCTCTGTGTTGGCAACCTCCACCCAGGGTAGGTCCCTCACCCTCTAGGGTGTACAGCTCACCATATTACAAAGTAGATCACCAGTCTCAAAGCTGATGCGTTCTAAAAAAGATTTACTCTTAATTTTAAATTGTGTGTATGTATGTGTGTGTGTGTGTGTGTGTGTGTGTGTGTGTGTGTACACAGGAGTACAAGTGGTTGTGGAGGCCAGAAGAGGGTGATAGATCACTTGGAGCTGGAATTAATGGCATTTGTGAGCTGCCCAGTGTGGGTATCAGGAAGCAAACTAGGGTTCTTTGCAAAAATAGTAAGCATTCTTATTCACTGAGCCATCTCTCCAGCCCCAAGATGTATTCTTTTAAAGGGAGGAAGTGTTTCCTTTGGTTCACAGTTTAGGGGTACAGTTCTTCATGGTGGACAAGGCATTCATATATGCATATGAAACGGGTAGCCCTAGCTGGCCTGGGCTTGCTATGTAGATCAGGCTGGTTTTAAACTTACAGAGATCCCCCTGTCTCTGCCTCCAGAGTGCTGGAATTCAAAGCACAAGGCATTATACCTGGCTGAGTCAGATGTGTTTCGGTTACTGCCCTGCAAACATCTCCCAGCACCTATCCCTATGAGTTGCATGACTCCTTCTAGTAGACCACGATGACTACACTAGTGCATGTACTGCCTGCCCTTTCATTTGGTGGAGTCCTGAGCTTCTGCTTGATTTCTGCCTTACAGAGTTTTAAAGTTACCTGGCTTGCTTGAAGAAAACCCCGTGACTGGATCTTCCTCCATACATCCAGTGAGATGGCACAGTGTCACCAAGCCTCATGGTCTGAGATTAATCTTCAGAACCCACATGGAGAAGGGAGAAAACCAGCTCCCACAAGATGTCCTCTGACCTGCATATACATACCATGGCACCCATACACACACACACACACACACACACACACACACACACACACACACGATGATAAATAAAATAATAAAATCTCAGTAATTAAAACAAAAACTCCTGCATCATTAGCTATTATTTCTGACTTCTCTCTCCTGTCTTTCCACTAAACATAAGCAACCATAATCTACTTTCTGTTCTAACGGATTATCCTAGCCCGGAGTTTTATAGAGATGGAATCATACAGCATGCTTATTGGCCGCTTGTATATCCTTGTAAAGAAGGCCAAATCCTTTGTCAATTAAAATCAGGTTATTTTTTGTTGTTGTTTTGCACTGTAAGAAATTTTTATATATAACGATTATTAGATACTTATCTAATTATTTTAAATGAGTCATTTAAAAATATTCTCTTCCATTCCATGGGTTGTCTTTCATTTTTTTTTTCTGAGTAATGTTCTTTTAAAATTATTCTTTGATACTTTCACACATGTATTTGGTGCATTTTGATCATAACCCTATCTAACTCCTCCTGGATCCCCCATCATGTTCCCATCCTGATTTCATGTCCTCTTCTTTGCCTATAACTCACCGAGTACAAAATTAGTGCTACTCCAATGTGCACGGGTCTGAAGCCATCTACCAGAACATGGTCAGCCGGCCAAATGACACACCCGTGAAGAACATGACTCTTCCTCCACTAGCATCTATCAACTGCTAACAGCTCCTCAGCTGCGGAGAGTCCATTGCTCAGCCATGCTGGAATGATAAGTGCTGGGAACCCGGAAGGCAACCACTGCTTCTGCGAGGTCACAAGAGTAACGTCCCTGCCGTGTTAAGAAGATGTTGTCTCAGGGCAGACCTCTCAGAGCTCTGCTTCTTAAACCTTGTTTTCCCACTTCTCTGCTGTCACCCAAGCTTTGGGGGCAAGGGTGTGATATGGATGTCTCATTTGGGGCTGAGTACTCCACACTCGTGGTCTGCATTTTGGTAAGCTGTGAGTCTGTTATGTCCACTGCAAAAAAAAGTATTTCTCTGGTGGGGAGTGTGAATCTGTGGGTATAGAGAATTATTTAGAAGATCAGTTGATACTACTGTAATTTATCAAACTAATAGTAATAGGCTTTTCTTTAGGTCCTATGAGCTCTGCAGAATGGTTTCTTGGCTAGGTTTATAGTACCAGGCTTGAGAGTAGATCTTCAAACCAATCAGAAAGCAGTTTGTTACTCCCATATCATCTATACCACTGTTGTATGCATGGGTATGTCTTGTGAGGCTGATGGAGGTACTCACAGGCTTCATACATGAGTTGGTGTAGGTAGTCCTTCTGCATATGTATCGCTTTTATTAGTTAATGAATAAAGAAGCTGGCTTGGCTTGTGATAGGGCAGAATAGGCTGAGAAAACTAAACTGAATGCTGGGAGAGAAAAAAAGGTGGAGTCAGATGCCATGTAGCTGCCAGAGGGGAAAGACACGAGCTGCCAGCTGGAACTTTGCCCATAGGCCACAAGCCTCATGATAAAATATAAAATAATGGAAATCAGTTAATTCTAGATGTAAGAGCTGGCTAGCAATACGCTTAAGCTGTTGGCCAAAGAGTATTGCAAATAATATAGTTTCTGTGTGATTATTTTGGGAGTCTGGGCAGCCAGGAGACAAGTGGGTTTCTTCCAACAATGAGTAAGAAAGTGACTGCTAGGAAAGCTAGCCAGCAGGGAGTTGGTAGCATGAAAACTTTCTGGTTTTTCGTTTGTGACTTTGGTGCTACATTTAAAAAGCCATTGTTTGATCCAAGGCTATGAATTTATACCTGTGTTTCCATCTAAAAGTTTTATACTTTTAATTTTTATATTTGTGTCTCCAATCACTTACAAGTTATTTTTTTTACAGTGCAAAAAAAGGACAAAGATGAAATTACATTTTTTATTGGAAATAATGCAAATGAGCAGAATCTTTGAGATATAAAAAGAAAAAAAATTCCTGTTACTCTAGAGTCCTACACTTGGCAGAAATAACTCCCCAAAGCAAAGAGAAAAGAAAGGTATTTGGAAGTTAACCAAAAAAAAAAAAAACCCAAAAAACAAAAAAACTAAAAGTTTACAGCTGACCAATATTTCAATGTGTTGCTGACTTACAGTTTCAGTTATTTTTCTATTGCTGTGCTAAACCACCATGACCAAGGCAATTTATAAAATAGTGTTTTATCTAAGGCTCCCAGTTCTAGAGGGTTAGCTCCATGACCGTCATCGAATTGTGCTGTGCTTAAATATGGCTAAAACAAACCACTCAGGGTCAGACTCTCAAAGTTTGAACCAACTTTGAACCACTGAGCCATGTTGGAACCAGCCTTCTTATCTCTTGTGGATCATCTCTCAGCTGGTCTGTAAAGGTGTTAGTTGGGTTCAGCGCTTTCTAACTCAATCCCATGTGCATAATAAAGCACAGTGTACACTAAATAAATATTGGATATGATCACATTGAAACTCTTTGTAAAGCACATGTGTCGCCCTCCATAAAGGCAGGTTCTGCAGACTGACTGAGAAAAACAAGCTTAAGGTTTGGGAGAGGGTTCAGTGTTGTCTCCAACCACGTAGAAAGTGCAAGGGTCACTAGGTTAGAAGGTCCATCTGCTCCTAACCTTTTGGGAGGATAACAGGTATTTTATTCCTTCTTTTGAAAGAACAGCCTTGAGTTCTTAACATTCCAGGTCCACTCCCCTGGCCCCCACCCCACAGCGCCACATGCTTATCTGTGAGCACAGAGACCTCCACATCTCCTAAATCCTACACATACTAGAGCAAAGCAATTCCTTAGGATAAATCTCTCCCAGGTACAAGAACACAGGTACATACGTATACGGACATCTTATTGGTTTGGTTTCTTTGGAGAACCATAGATTAATAAATTCGCCAACTATATAAATAACCAGAAATAAATGCATGTGGGATTTGCAATGTATTTACAAGTAAGATCCTTGGCAAGATAAGCTTTTCTTATCTTTAGGCAATCACTTTATCTAGTCCTTGCTTTTAAATCTACCTTGAGCCTTCTGATTAAGACAGTGGAGTAGAAGGTGGCTTCAGGGAATCCAGGAAAGAAAAAGAGTCAGAATAAGGAAAAAAAAAACCCTTCAATTCAGAAAGAAAGAGCTTCAGAAATTTACAAAGATAGTATTAGGACGTGTGAAAAGTACAGAAAAAGCATAGGGCAATGCATTGATAAGAAGTAACTCAAGGGCTGATGGTTCAGTGGTTAAGAGTGTTTGCTACTCTTGCAGAGGACCACAGCTGCCTGTAACTCTAGTTCCAGGGGATCTGACGCCCTCTTATGGCCTCACTGTGCTTATGTGCACATCTTCATCTGTAGGTTCCTCCCTTCTCTAGGGTGATGAATACACAGCTCCTGCTTCTTCTCACAATGCCAACACATGGGACAGACACCATCACTCCCCAGCCCAGATAGAATGACTAGTTAACCCAGGGGGCAGCATCTGAAGGTTCTGAGAGCCTGCCCAGACTGTGGAAAGTTAAGTATGGCCAGTAGAGGCCACTGATCTGCAAAGAAGAAAAGTTACTAAGTGAAGGCAGACACAACATTTTATGGAAGACAGCACTTGTCCAATGCAAAGTTAGTGACATCAAAAACCAGAGGCGAGACAAGACCCTGCTTTGCCAGAGCCTTTTCTTCATTCCATGCATGTATGTGGTCGTCTACACTTTTATTTAAAGTTTTACTTTTCTTTTATGTTTGAGTGTTGACTTGCATGAATGTTTGTGTACCACATACATGTCTGGTGTCCAGGGAAGAGGGCATCACATTCCCTAAGACTTGAGTTATAGGTGGTTGTAAGCCACCATGTAGGTGCTGGGAACTGAACTTGGGTCCTCTGCAATGGCAGCCAGTGTTACAAACCACTGAGTCATCCCTCCATTCCACACTCTCTAATTTCAATTTTTGATACCTAGAAAGAAGTTACTCTATATTTCATTCTTTAAAAAAGTTGACTTTATTTTATTTCTCTCTCTCTCTCTCTCTCTCTCTCTCTCTCTCTCTCTCTCTCTCTCTCTCTGTCTCTCTCTCTCTTTCTCTCTCTGCAAATGTACATGGTGGGGTCAAAGCGAAGGTCAGGTGTTTTTCTCTCCCTCTCCAACTTATTTTTTTTTTGAGACACAATCTTTTATTGAGCTTGGAGCTCCCTGATTGACTAGCATGGTTGGCCAGTGAACCAGGAATTCTTCTGTCTCTACCTCCTCAGTGTTGGGAGTACAAGCACATGCTGCTACATCTATCACCAATACCCCCCTTTGTGAGTGCTGGAGATTGAACTCCAGATGTCCTAGTGCAACAAGTTCTTTACTGACCAAGCCATCTACAAAGAACTAGTCAGTAACATTTTTATATACCAATAACAAACTTGCTGAAAGGAAATCTTGGAAAATATCACAATTTAAAATAACTTATAAATTATCTAAGATGGGACTGGAGAGATAACTCAGCAGTTAAGAGAACTTGTTGCTTTTTCAGAAGACCTGCGTTCAATTCCCTGTACCCATATTGAGTATACATGCATGGTATATCCTCTCCCTCTTTCTCCCTTCCTCCCCCCATCTTTCCCCTCTCTCACACACATTCATGTAAATAAAAATAAAAGCAAATCTTTTAAAATGCCTAGAAATAAACAAGGTGAAACACGTTCACAGTGAAAACTGGAAAAGTGATAGAAGAATACTCTACAGATGAAAACACCTTCAATGCTCATGGATTGGTAGAATAATATTGCCAAAAGGAATGTGCAGATTTATTGCAATCTACATAAGAATTCCAATGACATTCTTTATGGCAGAAAAAACTAATGTGGAAAGACACACACACACATACACACACACACACACCACACTACTAGGTAGCCAAGGCTATTCTAACCAGATGCTTCAGGTTTCATAATACTTGCTTTCAAATTATGCAACAGAACTGTAGTGATTGGTCATTGTGTTCTAGCACTAAAAGCAGACATGCGGAGCAATGGAATAGAATAG